ATGCTGAGACCCACGAACCGTTCATGGACACAAGCTAAGCTTGATTTGGGTCTAACTAATGTAAGCTTGTTGGGACCTCGAACTCTGTTTAAGATAATATTTCGAGATACTGCAGAGCTGGTCCCACACAAAGCTTGTTTGTTTTCAATGTCGAAAATGGTGTACCGATCATAATTGCATTAAGATACATGTGTAGGGGAGAAACGACGATGTCAACTAGTCTTGTCAAACAAAAAAACATAAATAATATCTATGCTTGTTAGTTTCTCCCTGGTATAGGTATAGGTTTTCAAATTACGGTGACAGGGGTAGTGTCGAGAGTTTTACCCCCTCGTACACAAAACTGAAGACGTTCTAGGGAATACGTCCGGCACGGATAGAACTTCCGATGTCAACCGAACTAAAACAATGGAATCGTGCTATCGATGGGACCGCTGATACCTTGACCCAACTCGCATACATCTGTAAGTTACAGGAAGATCTGGAGGCAGAGAAGACTAGAAGCTGTCGTCCCCGTGGGATCACGTGGATCTCTAATAGAAATCCTCTATGATCGGTTTTAGAACTTCTAGATCCTCTAGATCCTTTTTTCCATTGCTCCTTCAAAGAACACCGTCAGCTGCCTGGATGCCATCCGCAACCTACTTGTATACGCCGCTCTCAGCCACCCGACCAGCGCCGTTGTAGACTTGAAGCATAGCAAATCACTCTGAAGCAAGCTTTGAGCCCGTCGCAGAATTCTTGGCGTTTGCTGTGTTTTCGCATCAACAGCCTCTGGTTTTCAACCAATCGTGTCAGGCCTTACATCTTTTAAGCCAATCTATAGTGGCGTCAAACGTCCGGTGAAACAGACATGTCTTAATCCCACTTTATTCAAACAACCCGTCTATGTTCAGGTACGACCTCAAAGGAATCCAATACAGTGCTACCTTTAACATCAACAATTTACATTATACCCTTTCATATCTGCTACAAACATATTTATTAATACATTATACAATATTGTGAAAACTATTCCCCTGTTTAAATATCACTGTACCATCTGACCACTTAAATTACAATGAACTGTACTCAGTTGAAGGTAAACTAGCCGTCACCTCAGTCGACAATCTCCCTTCTGAAGATGACGGCGTCCTGGGCGCTCGAGAGTCGACTCGTACAAGCTCCGCCACGCAAAGAGCCCGTGCGTCCCAGCAAATGTTTGCCGCCGCTCACGTGTGTATCTGTCGCGTTGCGCAGCTCTCCCAACGTGTCTGCGTTGCCTCATGTTCTAGACTCCATCTCGTCGTATTTGGACCATTCCCCGCGTTATTCGATCCCTCTCGCCTGCTCCAGAGCCATTAGATACGCTAAGCTGCATTTATTACAGCGCTTATGGACTTCTCAATACCCTAACGACCCACTGTATCGTCAATGGGCTTTCGCGCGCGGTACAGCCAACGCCGCGGCTCGAGGAGATCTCAAAGTCGTTCAATGGCTTTGCGAGGTTTATTACCCTCAAGGGAGAGTCACAGACGCAGTGGAGAAGGCAGCGCAAGCAGGTCACGTGCATATATTGCAGTGGCTTTACACCCACCAGAGTCAGGTCTTCTGGGGAGCCAATGAGATGCGTGTAGCTGCTCAGTTCGACCAAGTGGCTGTTGTAAAATGGCTACATGCACATACAGCGCCACCTTTTGTCGGAATGAATGCCATTGAATTGGCTGCAAGAAACGGTAATCTACAGCTTGTCAAATGGCTACATAAGACGAGGAACCAATGGAGTGGGTACGGAGCAGGGGAGGCGGCAGCTCATGGCCATTTGGACGTGTTTAAGTACATGATTAAGGGCCACTCGGTGCTCCGCGAGAGCGCGCTGAACGAGGCTGCCGCTAATGGACACTTGGAGGCAGTAAAGAAGCTGGCAAGACGCCAACCTGCGCTCGTGACGACGCGGACAACTACTACAGCAGCGGAGAATGGACACCTTCATGTGTGCAAATGGCTACATGGTAAAAAGTTCGACGGTAAATTCGCACTTTGGACCACAGCGGCGATGGATAAAGCAGCGACTAATGGCCACTTGGAAATGGTTAAATGGCTACATCAGAACCGATTCCAGGAATCTTGGAAAGCTTGTACACGTGAAGC